TTTTAAAGAAGAGAGAAGGAAACAATTTTAGAAATCTCGAAAAGAACCTGAAGCACATTGGATATTATATTTGATACGCAAGCTACTTTTAACACTCATTTTGAGAAGATCCCCTCTCTCTTTTTCATCTTTTCCCTTCCTTTGTTACAAAGGAACAAACAGGAAATCTGTAAAACAATAACAAAGCCCAGGTTGAGATAAATTTTATATAGCTTACTTATTGCTCTTTTCTGAGAGTTTGTTGCATGGTGGTTGAACTGTGAATATTCACATTTAACTGGAAGCAGAACAGGCTGCATATGCTACAATAATAGATTTCTGTTATTATGGGAATAATGGCACTCAAAAGAAGCAAACATTTGGAATCCTTGCAGATTTCATCAAGCTTTCAGGCTGTTTGCAAGCATTTCTACATAAAAAGCAAAAAAAGTAGAACTTCTTTTAACGTGAGTTTGATCCCAGATGAGATGTATCTCTGTAGTTGGCTGAGCAACAATCCAGAAATGGCTTCCTGTTGTCTTTTTCAAGTGCTCTAACAACCCTAAGCCCTAGAATGGTTTGGCATTCACCCATCTGAGCATGAACCCAAGCTAAACTTGCTTAGCTTTTGAGCCCAGACCAGACCTACTAAATTAGAAGGATGCAAATCAAAGATCCAATTTGAATTTGCAATTCTATTTGAATTATCAGTGCAAACTGAATTTGTGATGTGATCCAGTAAAAGCATGTGTGTAAAAACTCCCATCAAACCTTTGAAGGGAATCTTGACGATTCAACTTGAAGGTTTGATTCAAAGAGGAGCTCTGATTGTATCAGAATAAAATGGCATGTATGAACCTGTGTTACACCATTCAGATCCAGGTAGATCTATTTCTTCTTTGTTTATACCAACATACACTCTGAACTTGCAAAATTTGGGTAAGGATTTTTATCTAGGAGTTGGATGTGGGGATTTCTCTTTGCAAAAAATTGAAATTTCACACAGCGTGGCATTTCCCTCAATCAGACAAAATTATGTGCTGACACGGCAGAGCAGGACACTTGTGCCCCTCTACCTGGGGGGCCCTAAAGTCTTAAACCCTCCTGTCTTAGCTGAGTTTAATTTTTTAAAAAAATAAGTAAAAATGAAATAGGAAACTGACTTGCTAGAAAGCAAATTACCTGCCTACATCTTTCTTTACAGAATTCTTCTGAGCCCTGTAAGCTTTTTCATAGAAAATAGGATAAGGATAAGGATAAGGATAGACTAGACTAGACTAGACTAGATTAGACTAGACTAGACTAAACTAGACTAGAGCTGGAAGGGACCTTGGAGGTCTTCTAGTCCAGCCCCCTGCTCAAGCAGGAGAACGTATACTGTCTCAGACAGGTGACTGTCTAGTCTCTTCTTAAAAATCTCCAGTGATGGAGCATCCACGATTTCTGGGGGTAAGCTGTTCCATTGATTGATTGTCTTCAGTGTCAGGAAGTTTCTCCTTAATTTCAGGTTGCTTCTCTCTTTGATCAGTTTCCAGCCATTCTTTCTCGTCCTTCCCTCTGGTGCTCTGGTGAACAACCTGTCCCCCTCTGCCTTGTGGCAGCCCCTCAGATACTGGAAAACTGCTATCGTGTCTCCCCTATTTCTTCTTTTCTTTAGACTAGCCAAACCCAAGTCCTGCAGCCATTCTTCGTATGTTTTAGTCTCCAGGTCTTGGATCATCTCAGTTGCTCTTCTCTGAAATTTTTCTAAACTCTCAACATCTTTTTTTGTGATATGGTGACCAAAATTGGCTGCAGTATTCCAGCTGCGGTCTTAGAAAGTTTTTAGAAAGAAAGGAAGGAAGGAAGGAAGGGAGAAAGAAAGAAAGAAAGAAAGAAAGAAAGAAAGAAAGAAAGAAAGAAAGAAAGAAAGAAAGAAAGAAAGAAAGAAAGGAAGGAAGATGATTGAAGCCCAGAATTTGACTTGTGTGTCCTTCTAACCTAGGGGAAAAGAAGGAGCCGAGAGACACTGAGATATACAGTATCCTGGAAGCCAATAGGGGCTGTGAGAAATTCCCTCACCACTTGCTTTCAAGAAGTATCTATTGTGAAATTAGCCAGGGAGGGTGAGATGCCTTCCATGCTATCAACATTCAAAACAGGCCTCTAGGACTTCAAAGGCTCCTTATCTCCATTTGGCCCAGCTGACGGGATATCCAACCACAGTTCTTTTTTTTTTGTTTCTCCCAAAGTCAAAATGAAGGAACTGGAATAGATCAAGAAATAAGGAGAGTCCTTGGAAAAAACATAACATCATATGACAGGTGCAAAGGGAGGACATCACATTAGAAAAAAATGTGATCTTGCATTCTGACTTTGTTCTCCATGGAGGATAGAAGTTGGCCATAAAGAAGTCTAAATTGACAGGCCTGGGTGACGTTGTTTCACTGGGGCAGCATGCAAATGGTGATAATAAATATCAGGAGAATATTGGGAAAAATAAGGCACCATAAGCAGAGCTCTGCTCACAGCCACAATGGGAACCAGAATTTCTGGTGCTAAGCAAGGCGGTCGTTAAGTGAATCAGGCCCCATTTTACAACCTCTTTGTCATAGGTTTTAAGCAAATTGCTGCAGTTGCTAAGAAAATCCAGTTTCCCTCTTGACTTGGCTTGTCAGACGTCGGCTGGGAAAGTCCCATATGACGATCCCGTGACCCGTGACTCTTCCAAGTGCCTAAATTTTGATCATATGACGGTGATGCTGTGAGGGTTGTAAGTGTGAGAACCACCCCTTTTTAAGTGCTGTTGTAACTTTGAACGGTCGCTAAACAAAGGGTTGTAAATTGAGGATTACCTGTATATCATGCTATTGGTTTGGCATTTATTATGTCCCAGTTTACATGGGATGCATTGATTCAGACCCTTCCTTACCACTCCTAGCACACTCCTTTTTCAATCAAGGAGAATATTTGTAGCTCAGGGTTGAGATGCACGGTCCTTGGTGCTCTCTGAGCTTGCTTGTTTTCTTGCAGATGTTTCATGACCCAAACTGGTAACATCATCAGTGCTGGAAGGGAGTGAGATTTGCAAGGAGAAGGAGAAGGAGGAGAACTGTGTGGTTCTTGGTGTTCTCTGAGCTTGGTTGTTTTCTTGCAGACATTTCATTACCCAACTAGATAACATCATCAATGCTAAAAGTGAGTGGAGTTTGCAGGGAGGAGGAGGAAGGGAAGAGGAATGATGTTGATGATGGTAATAATAATAATTATAATTATAATCATAAAGTTGGAAGGAACCTTGGAGGTCATCTAGTCCAACCCCCTACTCAGGCAGGAAACCCTATACCATTTCAGACAAATGGCTGTCCATCTCTTCTTAAAAACTTCCAGTGTTGGAGGAAGAGAAGAAGGAGAAGGAGAAGGAGAAGAACTGTGTGGTTCTTGGTGTTCTCTGAGCTTGGTTGTTTTCTTGCAGACATTTCATTACCCAACTAAGTAACATCATCAGTGCTAAAAGGGAGTGGGGTTTGCAGGGAGGAGGAGGAGGAGGGGAAGGAGAAGGAGAAGGAGAAGGAGAAGGAGGAGAAGGAGAAGGAGGAGAACTGTGTGGTTCTTGGTGTTCTCTGAGCTTGGTTATTTTCTTGCAGATATTTCATTACCCAACTAGTGATAAAAGGGAGTGGGGTTTACAGGGAGGAGGAGGAGGAAGAGGAGGAGGAAGAGGAGGAGGAGGAGGAAGACTGTGGGAACCTTGGTGCTCTCTGAGCTGGGTTGTTTTCTTGCAGACGTTTCATTACCCAAACTGGGTAACATCATTAGTGCTTCTTAGGATGTTACCTAGTTTGGGTAATGAAACGTCTGCTAGAAAACAAGCAAACTCAAAGAGCACCAAGGACCCCTCACACTGTGTTTTTTTTTTTTCATGGTTATTTGCTGGGTTTTACAACTCAGAAGGGCTTCCTCTGGGGCTTAAGGCAGACCTTTGTGAAGGGGTCCTTGGGCTGGACCCGGAACACTTGAGACTTTGTGTTTTTCAGGGTGAAGTGGAGGATTTAGGTCAAGCCAATAGAGTTTCTGTTGACCCCCTTGTCTGGGTGGGCCGTTCCTGGCAACTTGAAAACACCCCCCCCTGTATGTGTGCAGATGATGGATTAGCTGCCATTATTTGCCCGAGAAGATTATAAAGAGGAGAGGAAATGTCACGGGCACAGATAAATGGCCATGTCAATATTTGGGGCCAGGGCTGGAAGAAAGGAGGAAAGCGATTCTGAATGACTTTAGATCCAATGAAAGTTGTCGTCCCCCCCCCCCTCTTTTGCAAGTTACCAATGCAGCTGTCGAGGGTCGGAATGCTGGAGGGGGCAACATGGTTGCTAAGACATCCCAAGGTGGTGGATTTGGCTTTCGTTTTTAATTCAATAAGGTTGTCGGCACTTATAGCCCCCTTTAAGCTCTCCCCAGTAAAAGAATTCCTGGGTCAGATAGTAGACTGTTGGCAAATACGGAAGTACACCCAGCACAGAGTATTTCAATAGCAATGCATTTTCCCTCTTGAACTCACGGGGTAACCTTATCCTAAGAGGCACCGCCTTTTAAGCGAGGCTTTTCATTCTCCATTGTTTCTTTTTCTTTAAGCAGCTCAGAACATTTATTTATTTTTTGTAAGAATGGGAACATTCAGCAATATATCCTTGCCCTACCAGGTGTTCCTTAGCTCACAGTGTGGCCCTCAAATCCAGCCACATCGCATTCAGTCTTCTGAATCATATCCTAATATTGAATGCTATCGCAGCCACTTTCTTGGCTGGGACTGCTCTTTCAAGATGCTTCTGTTATGACCTTCAAAAGCATATTTTAGAATATGATGCATAATTCTAACTACACTCCTCTTCCTAAAGCTTGGGCCAACTAAATCTGACTTACTTAATGGTTATCCAGCTATTCAATTTTGAAGTGGAATTTGGCTCAGGATTCCCCCACCTATCAATTTTTTGCCAAGGCCATGATAATCTAACATTGCTCCTACTTTTCTCTCCTTCCAGATGAATGGGAACCTAGGGGAGCTCTCTTTCTGGTGAATATTATGAAAATATAATGTCATAGAGGAAAACAAATTGGACTGTCCTGTTTTCAACCCAGCAAGGTCCATGTCTGGCTAGCCTCCTGTTAGGTGCGAAGAATCGGGACTACACATAGAATTAAAGGTAAGATGATTTATTGGTCATTCCTCTAGGCAACAATCTAGTGAACTAATGCACTAAATTGGGGCTAGATAAGAGTCAACGGAATTCAAGAGGGGTTGGACTTAGGTTGTTTGTGGGAACGTAATGATTCTAGGCTGATTACTCACCTGACTCCACCTCCAGGCTTTGCCTGGTCTTCTGTATATCCCTTCTTTCAAGTTATCAAGTGAGCCATTGCTGCATCTCCTCCTTCTTCTCACCCAAGAAGATCTTAGCAATAGTGTGTATTAATAGGCCTCAGATACCCTAGAGCAGGCATCTTCAAACTTGGCCCTTTTATGACTTGTGGATTTCAACTCCCAGAATTCCTCAGCCAGGCACGCTGACTGAGGAATTCTGGGAGTTGAAGTCCACAAGTCATAAAAGGCCCAGGTTTGAAGACCCCTGCCCTACAGTGATGTTAAAATTCTAAGTCAAATCTGTTGCTCCATCCCATGAAATTCCATGCAGAAAAGTAGAGGGCAGTAAGAGATGTTATTCAAATCGTGCTATGTTACCAGGACATGCAGAACCACTGAACGATGTGTAACACGGTCTGAAATGGCATAGCTTGTCCTAGGCGTAACTATATTTCCTGAGGCAGAACTGGATCCTCATAACAGGTCTCAGACAGAATGCATTGGTGGGATTGCCAAATTCCCTTTAGCACAGAAAGCACCGCAAATTACCTTGATTTTTTTTCTTTTTTCTTAGAGTTATCTCAAACCCAGCCATTCTTTCAGGCCATTAAGTTGGCAAGGTAAACTCGGATCATTGTATCCAAGCAAACAATGGCTTCGCTGTCCTCTGTGCCAAGAATGGATGAGTTAGAACATCCTCGTGAAAGCGTGCTTTCAAACAGGTTGCTAGGCAGAGGTGGACCAGGAGTTCTAGCCCCCAATTTAGGGACACACCTGTAGAAGGCCAAAGACCAGCAATCTGCTTGGATAAAGGAGACTTGACACAATTCCAGCAATGCCGAGCAAGTCATCTCAAAAAGTGGCTTAAGTTAGATCTGTTTATTCTTCTTTGAGAGACTATTATCCTTTGCCTTCTGTTTTTGCACCCTGTGAAGTTGACCTGCTCTATTAAGAGTTTTAACATTTCATATCAGAAATGAAGTTACAGCAACTTCAAGCTCTGGGCCATTGGCTTCATTGAGCAATAAAATGGCAAAACGTGACCCATACATATTGATACTCTTCTTTCTATGCGTATATCTATCGTGTTGTATTTTATTCTTTTGTTATTTGCATTATCTTGGTTTGTGTTCAATACAATACAATACAATACATTCGAATACAAAAGCAAGACAAGGAACAATGGATGGAAACTAATCAAGGAGAGAAGCAACCTAGAGCTAATGAGAAATTTCTCGACTGTTAACGATAACACCTTTCATCCCTAATGTGTTTCAGAGAATCCACAAATTTACTTTTCTTTTTCCACACATTCTGCCTTGGAATTCTAATTCCCCTTGATTTGCCCCCCAATTTATTTCTACCTTTTATCATCTTTGCAGGGCCCTTGATGCCCTCTGAGCTTGGTTGTTTTCTAGTTTTATTGCCAAACTAGCATCATCAGTGCCAGAAAGAAATGGCATTTGTGGAGAGGAAGAGGAGGAGGAGGAGGAGGAGGAGGAGGAGGAGGAGGTGGACTGTAGGGTCCTTGGTGCTCTCTGAGCTTGGTTATTTTCTTGTAGCTGTTTCATTGCCAAATTATATAACCTCATCAGTGCATCTTTCTTTGCAAGAGAAGTAAAGAAACTTGCTTTAAAGTAGAACCTATCCACCCATTTTTTGGCAACAGGTTGTTTTTATAAACATTTACTGGCATGAGATTTTATTACTTTCTTCTTTAAAAAAAAACAAAACAAAAAACAAAAATTGAATCATTCGTGACCTTTTTCCCATATGAGTCAAGCATGGCTCCTGGGTTAATCACCCAATTACGCTACATAACTTTTTTTTTTCCTTCAGGAAATGATTCAGGCCATCTCCTTCTCCATTCTCCCCCCTTTTACCCAGGCAGAAGCAAGAAAAGGGTTCATTTTTCCCTCTGACAATCTGTCCGTGGATTTCATTTTACAACCTCATCTAGCAAGCTTGAGTCATCGCTTGCATTCACTTAGGAGCAACGTGACCACATTCCAAAGTGTGCAGTGAGTGTTGGGAGAGGCACAACTGAAGAGACAAATGTCTGTGCCCAGCTGGGGGAACCAAGAAGGGAAACAGGGAGCGTTGCTACTCAACCTCAATTGTGTGTGCCAACACTATCATTTCCTCAGAAGGAAGAGGGGAAAGAGAAAGGACTAACATGGAGAGGTAATCAGAATAGAGCTGGAAGGGACTTTGGAGGTCTTCTAGTCCATCCCCCTGCTCAAGCAGGAGACCCCATACCATTTCAGACAAATGGCTGTCCAGTCTTTTCTTAAAAACCTCCAGTGATGGAACACCCACAACTTCTGGAGACAAGTCATTCCACTATTTAATTGTTCCCACTGTCAGGAAATTTCTCCTTAATTCTAGGTTGCTTCTCTCCTTGATTATTTCCATCCATTGTTTCTTGTCTTGCCTTCTGGTGTTTTGAAAAATAAGCTGACCCCTTCTTCTTTGTGGCAGCCTCTCAAATACTGGAATGCTGCTATCATCTCACCCCAAGGTCTTCCGATCTTCTCCTATCATAGTTTTCTGAAATACTGATAGCGTGGTTGGTGGTATTACCTTGGGTGTGAGAAGCTTGGTGTGCCCTCTCTGTGGAATTCCCATTGAAAAAGAAAATGGTTGGGATTTGTCATGGGACCTATGTTTTGGGTCTGCCCCAGCCATTCAAAAGCACTAGAACAGGGCTCTCCAAATTTGGCAACTTTAAAACTTAGGGACTTCAACTCCCAGATTTCCTCAGCCAGCCACGGAGCACTGGTTTCATTAGAAAAGAGTTGATACATCTTTAAATAATGCAACATCCAATTTTCCCAGCTTGGGCTTTATTTGGGCCAGTCACCAGGAGACTGTAAGTTCTAATCCTGCCTTAGGCATGAAAGCCAGCTTGATGAGTTTGGGCTAGTGAGTTCTAGTTCCTCCTTAGGAACAAAAACCAATTGGGTGACTTTTGGCCAAGCACCAGGAAAGGGTGAGTTCAATTCCCGTCTTATGCATGGAAGCTAGCTGGGTGACTTTTGGTCAATCACCAGCAGGTGGTAAGTTCTAGTCCCACTTAGCCATGAAAGCCAGTTGGATGACTTTGGGTCAATCATCAGGAGATGAGTGCTAGTCCTGTCTTAGATATTGAGTCATCTGGGTGGCTTTGGGCCAATCACTAGGAGAGGTGAGTTCTAGCCTCAACTTAGGCATGAAAGCCAGCTGGGCGACTTTCGGCCAATCCCTCTCTCTGTCAGCCCAACCCACCTCAAAGTGTTGTTGTAGTGGGGAAAAATAGGAGAAGGAAGGTCTAGGTATGTTCCCTGCCTGGAGCTATTTATAAAAATAATAATAAAAGCAGGATAAAAATACATACATGCAAATGCATAAATACACGCGCAAATACCGCCTTAGACTCCAGAGAGAAGAGTGGCATATTTCAGTCACATCTGCGAGCTGGAAGCTTCTTGATAGGGGTGGGTGTTGTCGTCGTTTTGCTTTGACAGATCTTACGAGAAAGTCCCACGCCCACTTCATTCATGCTAACTAACTGTTTACGAAGTCAGGTTATGAATGAACCAGAGCATGGTTTGGCTTGCTGATCAACTTGCAAATATGTCGCTCTCTCATCAGAGGGGAGTAGATCTTTCTCCTCTGACCCACCCCAAAATGGGGAGCAACATCGAAGATGATGGGTATTGATTGAAACCATATTCTTTGAAAGTGAAAGCTGGGAAGAGGGGGGGGGTTGGGGGAGGAGGAGAAATTGCATCCACTGTTCCTTTAAAGTCCCAGCAAAGCTTCCCCCTGTCTTTGCGATGCTTCTCTGAGTCACGGCTCTCGGCAAATGTGGCAGGAAGTGAAACCACAGCCGGTTCTGGAACAAATTTGAGGCAGCTGAATTGAGGTCTCGATAGATGTCTGTGGAGATTCTCCGTCATCCAGGTCCTGGTTGTCCCCAAGGTGCTTTTTTCAGGAGGCAACTGGATTTTCTTGCTTTTCTTTGAAGACGTCTCGCTTCTCAACCAACAAGCTCCTTCAGCTCTGGCTGGATGGGTGGGGAATGGAAGGATTTATATTATAATATAACATGTAAATGTATTTCTACTCTACTCTACTCTACTCTACTCTACTCTACTCTACTCTACTCTACTCTACTCTACTCTACTCTACTCTACTCTACTCCACTCCACTCCACTCCACTCCACTCCACTCCACTCCACTCCACTCCACTCTACTCTATATTCTAGTCTATTCTAGTCTAGTCTGTAATTTCTATTTTATTCTATTCTATTTTGTAATTTCTATCCTATCCTGTCCTGTCCTGTTCTATCCTATTCTATCCTCCCTTCCTTCTTTCCTTCCTTCCTTCCTTTCTTTCTTCTTTTTTTTCAGTCTAAATATTGCTTCTCAGTTTTTACTCTCTATTCAAAATTTTAATCAACTTTATATTAAAAAAATACAAAGGGACAGGACATCTAAGAACCTACTGCACGGTAGCTTGTGATTCATCCATGAACCATATAACAAGGTCCACCATCATTTCCATGAGTTGCTTCTCCCCTCACCCCCAGGAATTCAGACCCAGAAAGGAAGAGCAAACCACAAACCATCTTCACTTTATATGACCAATCAGTTTTTTTCAAGAGATTTGATTTTTTTTTTTTTTTTTAAATCAGCTTTGGTTTTCTCCAACTCCATCTTCTTCCTGCCAAGCTTCCTTTGTAGTTGCTTCCCCATAACCACAAGGTTGCCTTAAACTTAGACAGAGTTGTTTTCAATTGCTGGGAAAGTGAAAGTCTTTCTTCAGAATGTCAAAACCGCCTGCAAGATCAAAGACCAAAAGGTCACTGCGGTCAAACTGATGGCTTTTAGGAAGCCTATGAAAAGAGCAGGAAGGCAAGGGGTTTTCTTCTGCCCCTGGTTACAATCCTCAACTCTTTCTCAATATGCCATGCTTCCGATGTGTTGGACAGCTCCCATCATCCTCAGCCAGTTGCTATCCAACACAGTTAGTAGGGTCTAGTTAGGAAAAGCTACGCTCCTCCAATCGTTGACACTTCTTGAGCTTCATGTTCCCGGAGAAGGTCATTTTTACAATTTGAATTAATCCTTTTGAACGTGTTTGCCTATTGGTTGGCTCACTTGTCTGACATTTTTTCATTGCGAATACATGGACTGTATTTTGCTTTCTTTTCCAGGGCTGGGAGTCAAAACAGCAGACTTTGGCACAATCAGTAAGTAAAATTTCTTTTTTCATCAGGGGTTACCAATGGAGATATATTCTGATTCTACCTCACCTGATAAGGGAGCAAGCAGATCCACTCAATTTACCATCTTAGTGACTTGGGAGAATTTGAAAACCAGCTATCTAGACTTCCTTTGGTCTGCCAGCCCCAATCCCCCAAATGTATTTGGTAAGGGATCTTACAAGACAAGAGGATGAGACAGTGAGCTAAGAGAACTAGGTATGTTTAGACTAATGAATAGAACAGTACAGAATAACAGAGTTGGAAGGCACCTTGGAGGTCTTCTAGACTAACCCCCTGCAGGAAACCCTAAACCATTCCAGACAAATGCTTGTCCAGTCTCTTTTTAAAGACTTCCAGTGTTGGAGCACCCACAACTTTTGGAGGCAAGCTGTTCCATTGATTAATTGTTCTAACTGTCAGGAAATTTCTCCTTAGTTCTAGGTTGCTTCTCTCCTTGGTTAGTTTCCATCCATGGCTGCTTGTCCTGCCTTCAAGTGCTTTGGAGAATAGTACCTGAAAAGAAAGCTTAGGGGAGACAGGATCTTCCATGACTTGAAGGGCTGTCACATGGAAGAGGACATCAATTTATTCTCCATAGCACCTAGGGGTAGGACAAGAAGCAACAGGTAAAGGCTGGTCAGAAGGTGATACAACTTGGAAATAAGGAGGACAGCAACAATAGTTAATCAACTTGCCTCCAAGAGTTGTGGATGCTCCATTGCTTGAGTTTTTTTTTCAAAAAAAAAAAAGTTTGGACAATTGTTTGTATGGGATTTTATAAGGATTCCTGCCTTGGGCAGAGGGTTGGACTAGAAGACCTCCAACGTCCCTTCCAGCCCTAGGATTCTATGAGCTGCTTATCTTTCTTTTTATGTCTACGTTTTATACCCCCTCTTTTTTTTTTTTGCATGTTTTAAACTTTCCTGGGGCAGCCACTGTTTGACCCACAGTTGCACCATTCCTCTTTCCCACAGAATATTTGATACTTTGGTTTGGAAACCATGAATGAGAACTTAACATGAAAGGGAAAACAGAAGATATTGCTTTCCACCGGAATTTTTTTTTTCCTTTTCTCCTCCTCCAGATCATTCCTCTTCATTCATTCTCTTAATTTCACTTGTCATTTCATGCAAAAGTTGGATTTAAGTTGGGCATATCAGCGTAAGTTGAACGTTAAGCGTCCCTTCTGCTTCCTTGTAGTGCCTTGATGATTCATAAAGAATCTCAGAAGCTAAAAATAATGGGAAAAGTCTTATTTGGTAAAAAGCGAAGATGCAACCAGGACTAGGAGTCAGTTTTAATATTAATAAGATTTCAGTCTTTTTGAGCCAAGTCCTGGGCACAAAATTTGAATTTGCCACGTATGTTATATTCGCATTATGTGACTGACTAGCGCCAATCATTTGTTGAAATTGGGGAGAAAGGAGAAGTCCATGGACAATTATCTGTATGAGTTGGCAGGGCAGAGAAGGGATACTAAGTCCTCCCAGCAACTTCTAGGGAATCTCTCCTCCAAGAATCTGATGGTTGACTGGTTTCTCTCCAGAATCTGTTTCCCTCATCTTCAGACCAACGTCTGCTCACATGTCGCATTTCATAGTCAACATTTATCACAATCTAAATCAGTGGTTCTCAACCTTTTTAATGCCACGACCCTCAACTGGTTGTAAGTCGAGGACTACTCAACCAGTCGTAAGTTGAGGACTACTCAACTGGTGCAGAACCGTTTGCAGAATGGGACTTTTGGCGGGCTCAGCAGGGCAGAGACAGCCTGGACAATTCTTATTGGCTTTGGAAAGCCAATAGAATTAGACTCTATTCAAGAGAGTCTATTCTATTGGCTTTCAAAAGCCAATAGAATAAAAGGGAGTAGCACAGCTAAGGAAAAGGGGGAAAAAAATGGCGGACTGCGTTGTTTGGCGACCCCCGTGAAATGGTCGTTCGACCCCAAACGGGGTCCCGACCCACAGGTTGAGAACCACTGATCTAAATGGAGAAGGTTTGAAAGTTGTACTGAACATTTTCAGACTGTTCCCTATTTCGTGTGTGGGAGGCTCCCTGACCATTCAGAAGAATGTTGTTTCCTTCCTCTTACTTGCTTCTTCCAGCAGGAAAGAGACAAAGCTTTTGCTATGATACCGCACAGGCTCTTCTTTAAGGCTAAAGACTATGAAGGCCTCTTGCATAGTAGAAAGACAGATTTTCCATTAGGAAACTCTTCAGAGCAGGAACTATAGAAGATGACACAGAAAGAGAAAGGTTTAGGATCTAGGACAGAATTCCAAGCCAAAAGAAGTTCAATCCAAGCCATGTCAACCGAAGATAGAAATACAACTGTAAGGAGAATAGTTTCCTTCCTGGGAAAGATTTTTTTCTGCTTCCGCTGGCGTACTAAACACGGCTTCTCGGAAGTTGAGGAAGTCCCCGGAGAGGAATCGTGGACAGCTGAGGACATCCAAAGAATGAGCTTTCTAGGAATTGGTGACTAAGGGACAGCCATGTTTCCAGGAGATGTGTCTCCATCAGATTCTCAGCAGGGAGGGAAAGAATTCTTCAGCAACTTTAAGAAAAGGATCCCCATTCTTCTCAGGGACATTTGACCACAACAATTTTCAGTTCTGAATCCAGGCTTATATCTGCTGGAAATTATCTAGATTTGGGAGGAAGAAACATTGTGATAAAATGTCAGGGACTTCTTAGCAAGGCTGGTCATTCCCTGAGGTGGGCAGATTTTCAAAAAGCAGCAAAACTGTCCCTTGATGCATTCCTTTGGCCTTTCAAAGACACGACTTGGAATGAAGATACCTGTGAACCTCTTGTGAGCATGCTCAGTGTTTCGGTGGGCTTTGCGGTCTAATTTGAGTGGGGTGCCCTTCTCTGACCTCTTGCAGGTGATGCTTTGCTCCCCCACCCTCCGACGAACTGGTAAGAGATTTTCAACCCCAAAGACATTATGCAAAGTTTGCTGGTCCCAGATGATGGTGGGAAGCAAAACAGGCTCCGTGGAATCCTGTTAACTTGACTTTTGGGGTTGCGGCATGATTAGAAAGCCTCCTGCTTTAAACGAAGTTGTAATCCAATGAGCTTGAACGTCGAACACCTTTGGGAAGCAGGGCAGAGTTTTCTGGGGGAAGGTGGGTCCATTTATTTCTCGAGCCGATTCTTTGCCGCGCGCACATACCCTGCAGCACACAAATTTATAGTGCCACCTTCCTCCTTGACTGCAAGGATAAATTAAGAATTCCTGACACACAATATTGCTCCAAAGACGAAGGGGGAGAAAAGCTGAAAGGAAGAAAAGGAACTTGGTGTGTGACTGAGCACTGAAAGAAAATGTAAATTTCAGTCCCAGACTTACTTATTAAAAGAGAGAAAAGAATGGAACTCAAAAACCCAACTGTTTATTCTTCTCTTAGCCCAGGCATGGCTATCTCTGAAGGGGTTGGACAAAGAGAGGAGAGATTTGTCCCCAATGTCCATCGCTCGAGGTAGGGATGTGGGTTCCAACCTCTTTGATTTTTTTTTTTTTACAGTAAAAGCACCCCCTCCTCATCTCAAAGGCCAACGTGACACCGTACAAAAGAAAAGGAAAAACCAGTTGCTTTTTTTTGTCTTTTATTAACAGCAGCGTATTATGTCTCCAGCTGCTCTGGGCTGGGGCAAGAAAATTGGTTTTGCATTGGGGAAAATGCTGCGGAGAGAGAAGGAATGATTGAGCAGTGGGCTGGCAACCCCAGCCAGACGATGCAGAGTCCCATCAAAAGGCGACAGACAGAAAGCCAGACGTTTAAGGATGCTTTTATAAAAAAAAATTTACATTCATGACATGCAAAATGTGATTCCCTTATGAAGATTGCCATATAGAGATAGATGATAAATAGACAGACAGACAGACAGAGACACATAGGTATTACATAGATATATGTATCCCAGTGTTTTGCATTCAAGAGATGCAAAACATGATCCCTTATGAAGATTGCCATATAATTTGGAATATCTAGCTATCTGTCTGCCTGCCTGTCTATCTTTCTGTCTGTCTATCGATCAGTCAATCAGATCATCTATCTATCTATCTATCTATCTATCTATCTATCTATCTATCTATCTATCTATCTATCTATCTATCTATCTATCTATCTATCGAGAGACTGACAGAGACAGACAGATACATATGTTTGTATATTACATGCTTATATATATCTATTCCAATTTTGCATTCAAGAGTTGTAAAACATAACATTGCCATATAATTTGGACTATATCTATATATCTGTCTGTCTCTCTCTCTCTCTCTTTATCTATCTATCACCATCCAGCCACACACACAAACACACACGTACATATTACATACATACATGTTTCTATTCCAAATGAAAGCAACATATTAAAACATTTGGTTCCTTTCCTTCCTGTTCCCCCGTTTGAAAAAAACGGCCCAGTTCTTTTCTGAACATCTCTCTTCTCCCTCTCTCTCTCTTTCTCTCTTTCTCTTTCTCTCTCCTTCCCTCCCTCCTTCTCTCTCAACTTGCTAAATTTGAAAGATGATACAGATAACATTTTGCTTTGCCCATTGACGCATTAAAAACCAGGATTACTGCAAAGCATTGGTGTTCCTGTGCCGCAGCAGAGCGTGATCAGAATGCAAGATGGAATTCTGTATCAGCGAACGAGGCAAAGACATGGTGCTGGCATCCCGACTTTCTGCAAGTCTCCTTAGCAACTTGTCTGACATCTTTTTAAAAATGTTGGCAAGGGCAGAGGGGGCCATGTCCATGTGTGCATGTCTGTGTGTGTGTCTCTGTGTGTGTGTGTGTGAGTCTGTGTGCGCGCACATCCCTAAGGCCATCCCCCAAATTTCGCACGCAATAAAACATGCCTTTTCATTAAAAAAAAAATAGTTTATTTTCCACTGAATCTTTGTGTCCTGGGGTCCAATGAGGGGAATTAATTAGTTGGGGGGGGGCAGAGGTGTTTCTCCCCACACCCCTTTGGAAATGTGGGAGGTGAGGAACTCAGGACTTTTTCATGCAGAGAAACCTCTAGAGAACTGGGGTTTTTCCCAGTTTCTTTCCAATTTGGAACAGAGATTCCCCACCTATTTCCCCCCCTCTTTTTTTTTTTCACTTCCCCTCTTTGAGGTGCTGAAACACCAGCGAAAGCCTGTTGTTTGTTAAACAATTTGGAAGGCGTTTGCTTGCAGGGTTTTTCCTTTAATTATTATTTTTAGACGAGAACTAGTAAAACAAAAGAAAGAGAGCTCCGGTCCCTGAATTTTTTTTCTTCCTGTCCCTCCCCCAAAACCTTCCCGTGGGGTTCCCCCCCCTTTCTACCCCTCCCACAGTTTTTTTTTTTTTTTAACTTGACAACTGAAGAATAAACTCCTTTGGGAGGAGTGGCGATGAAGGTACGTTGCATTTGGGGGGGGTGTAAGAGAAAGAAGAAAGGAAATTAATATGGCTGGGTGGGTGGGTGGGTGGGGGTGTCAAAAATCGGAATTTGGAATAGGAAATTGGAGATTGTTAGTTGCCTTGGAATAACTCAAGGGAGAGAGTTCTGTTTGGTGAGAAGCCTGGTGAAATTGTGGCTGGAAAAGGATGAACTCCAAAAGGGCTGTGGGCCACAGGGAGAGCGAATAGGAGGGAGATTAATATATGTATGTATGTATATATATATAGATAGATAGATAGATATTATATATATATATATATTATATATATATGAATTTCTTTTTGTTTTTCCCTTTTTCTTTTTTAAAAATTCCATTTTGCTTTTTCGGAAAGACTTGAAATTGGCTGCCATTCAAACAGATGTTCCTTGTCTTTGCAAAGTTAAGTAGGGCTTTGTATTGGAGCAAAAAATTATACATATATTTCACCAGGCTTCTGCACCAAACAGAAACTGTCTCCCTTGAGTTATTCCAAGGCAACTAACAATCTCAGATTTCCTATTCCAAATTCCGATTTTGACACCCCCATATATATAATTTTTTATTTTTTGCTCCAATACTAAGCCCTATGATAGATAGATAGATAGATAGATAGATAGATAGATAGATAGATAGATAGATAGATATACATGTGCAACAGAGTTTTTGGAAAGGTGGGTGAAGGCTACAGATGTGTGTTGAGAGAGAGAGAGAGAGAGAGAGAGAGAGAGAGAGAGAGAGAGAGAGAGAGAGAGAGAGAGAGAGAGAGAAGGTTTTGTCTGGGTCCGTCTGTGATTCCACATCAGAATCAATTTTGTCTGAAAAGCTACTCTTTGGGTTACTTTCGTGTCTCGACAAAACAGGGAGGAAAATAATCTGACCTCTTCCACTTCAAGGTGGTGCTTTTGTGTGTGTGCATTGATATCTTTGTGTGCATCTATGTGTGTGTGTGTGTGCACGCGTGTGTGCATGTGCACGCGCATATACACACATGCATACAAATAGAAGGTTTTCTGTTCGAAATCCTGTAAGAGACTCCCCCATAAGTGAATGTTGGTCCTGGACTAGATGACGGGACCTTTTACTTTATTTCTTTTTATCACTTTGGTATTTCTTTTTTAAATGTAGAAAAGCTCTTTTGGTGGGCTGGCTGTTAAGCTCTGCAGAGGTCTGAAGGCCCCTTTGGCCAGTTTCTTAGAGAAAAATTACCTTCTTTACACAGTAGAAGTTGAATGAAATGTAAAATGATCTCTATTTCTTATTCTTTTGTCTGTTGCATCTCTAGGCGGGATTTTCTCCATCTTGCTGTAATTGTTGTTTTAAACATCTGGCATCTACCTAATTTATCATCTTATCTATCTACCGATATCTACTGGTATCTATCTATCTATCTATCTATCTATCTATCTATCTATCTATCTATCTATCTAGTAATTATCCATCTGCCTATTTGTCTATATCTATATCTGCCTGCCTGCCTGTCTATCTGTATCTCCATCCGCCCATCCATCCATCCATCCATCTTTTTGAACTTATTTCAAATTAAAAGTCCACAAGAGTTATCTAGGGTTCAGGGAGGGGCCCCACAAACTAAAATCTAGCATCTGATCAATGTTGCAATATTTATTTATTTTTTTGATTTTGCGTTTCATGCTTAGTTTAAGTTTTTTAAACTTAGTTTTAAAAAAAGGGAACAAAAAAGACCCTCTCTTCAATTTTTTTATTTTTTATTTGGTATTGATTCTTTTTGGAACATCCATGCTATGGACTAAGTCATTCTGGGTATTTCTTTTCATGTTCCAGTTTTTAAAAAAAATGGATTGATGGATTAATTAAAGTCTTCATTGAAATGTAAAGTATATTGTTTTTGACAGGACAACATTACTTGCTTGTCAAACTCTGGTCTGTACACAATATAGAGTTCTAATTATATGTGCATAAACAAATAGTGTACTTAGAAATAAACAGTATTTACAATAGTATATTACTTATAATATAGTTAACCACTCTGTATATTTTTCTACAGGTTACTATATATAGATGATCCAAACTATTTAGAAAAAATAGATTTCTCACGAAGGTCACCCATTATTAGATCATTCTTCCATGTCTCTTCAATGAATATGGTAAAAAAAAAAAATCCCACATTATTTGCTAGGGAATTCTCTACACCACCATTTTCAGCCAGGTTGTTGCATTAAAAAAGCAATAGCGACCCTCTGAATTATTTCCCCCATTTTTTTTATGGGATTGAAAAAACTCCGAAATGTGATTGCATTTGAACCAGTTTCCATTTCCATTCTGGATTTTGACACTGATTTGGCTGTAGCCATTAATTCTCCTCCCCAGAGGCAACTGTAGAAGGCAGAACATCAAAAGTCTTAGGAAAAAAGACAGACAGAAAGAAAGCAAAGAAAGAAAGAAAGAAAGAAAGAAAGAAAGAAAGAAAGAAAGAAAGAAAGAAAGAAAGAAAAAGAAAGAAAGAAAGATTATTTTCATTCTTTTGGTTTCAAGCTTTCATGTCCTTTGATGTGATATAATGTCTGTCTGTCTATCTGTCTGTCTGTCTGTCTGTCTGTCTGTCTGTCTATCTATCTATCTATCTATCTATCTATCTATCTATCTATCTATCTATCTATCTATCTATCTATCTATCTATCTATCTATCCAGTTATCCAGTTATCTCTCCCAAGGATCCTTGATGCTTTTGGTTGTTGTTTTTTTAAGACGTTTCATTACCCAAACTAGGTAACATCATCAAGGCTAGTAAGGAGTCCATATTCTATACTATATTCTAGAATATAAAATGACAGCAAACTGCACTCCTTACTAGCCCTGGTGATGTTACCTAGTTTGGGTAATGAAACGTCTGCAGGAAAACAACCAAGCTCAGAGAGCACCAAGCATCCTATATTTCAACCCTGAGCTACAAATACATTCCTCCCTCTCTCTCTCCTTCTCTCTCTCTCCTTCTCTCTCTCTACTATCTATCTAGATTATTATTTGCTATCCCCTGTTAGCAGCTGTGTGGTCTTAGCGGTAGCAAAAGAAACAATAAACCGAAAGGCAAAATCAGCAAACTTGGCAAGGGGAGCAGCTCAAGCTGGCAGTTGAGCGTCCAGCTGGGGCACTGAGGGAATAGCTTTCTCTAAAGATCTCTGCTGAGGGTTTCTTTCTCCTCCCTCTTATATTTTTTTTTAAAACAATCTCAGCAGCTGGAACAGTTATTCCTCCATCTGCGTGAAGAGTCAAAAAGTTACAGTGGAGAATGCATGATCCAATATGGAGCCAGGTAACGTTTCTCTCTCTTATTATCTTTGCTGATGTAAATCCGCAGCAAAATTCTCACCGTAGCTAGTTAGGGTAATTGTTCTTGTTGTTTTTAATAATCTGGTGTTATTAACACTCTTTGTTCCTGAGGCTTATTTGATGATATTCAAATTAGAAGAATCACATTTTATTATGAGTTATCGTCTTCTATCAACGGATGTATGTTTAGCTAGATAGCTAGAGGGATGGGGGGCACAGAGAAAGATAAAATGCTATGCTCCTTAAAAATGGCATATCTCTTTCTGTGAACATGTAAATGCAACAAAACAAATGACCACCTG